GTCCCCCTATAGTGAACGTCTTTGTCCCCCCCAACTGAAGGCCTTTATGTCACCCCCAATTGAAGGCCTTCATGTCACCCCCAATTGAAGGCCTTCATGTCACCCCCAATTGAAGGACTTTATGTGACCCCCCAACTGAAGACCTTTATGTCACTCCCAATTGAAGGCCTTTATGTCACCTCCATTGAAGGTTCCCAATCAGCACTTTCATACTTACCAACATTATGGTCCCGGATTCGAGGACACTGTGAACCCCACCCATTTTGTCCACCAACTTTCTGCATGGGAGTGCCCAAATCCTGCCCATTCTATGGGTTGGTCCCACCTAAACCCCACCTCTAAATATACTGGGACCACCCATCACACCCGCGTTATGGACTGGTCCTGCCCAGACCCCACATCTAAATATACAGGGACCACCCATCACATATCAAACCTATTTTGTGGGCCGCTCCCTGTCCAGATCCCTACAACTAAATATATAGGGACCAACCATCAAACCCACATTATGGGCTGGCCCCACCCAGACTCCACCTCTAAATATAAAGGAACAACACATCACACCTATTTTATGGGATTGATTCCACCCAGCCCCCACATCTAAATATATAGGGACCACCCATCACACCCATTTTATGGGCTGGTCCCAGGCAGACCCCATCTCTAATTATAAAGGGACCACCCATCATACCCATTTTATGGGCTGGTCCCAGGCAGACCCCACCTCTAAATATAAAGGGACCACCCATTACACCTGTTTTGTGGGTTTGTCCCAGACCCCACATTTAAATATACAGGTGCCACCCATCACACCCACTTTATGGGCTGTTCCTGTCCAGACCCCTCATCTAAATATACAGGGGCCACCCATTACACCCACTATATGGGCTGGTCCTGCCCAGACCCCCGCCTCTAAAAATGCAAGGATAACCAATCACACCCACTTTACTGTTTGCTCCCGACCAGATCCCGGCTCAAAATAAGCTGGGACCAGCCATCATGCCCACTTTATGGATTGGTCCCACCCAGACCCCACCTCTAAATAAGCAGGGAGCGCCCATCACACCCATTTCATGAGCTGAGATTATATGAACATTTACAATATTTTATTCTTGTTATTTAACTGTAAAAAGCCTCCATTGTGTAGACATCCAAAAACCCTGAGCCTGCTGCTGGGTGCCGCCATCTTGAATGTGATATCAGCAGATTTCAGAGCTGTCACTCCAATATTCCCCTCTGCTCCTCCCCCGGCGGCTACATAAAAGGTTATGTAGGGAACTGGGCCAGCACAGACAGTAATTGGACACTCCCAGAAGAGGAGGGGGGCTATGACAGGAGGGAGGGAGAAGGGCTGTGACAAGCAAGGAGGGAGGGGGCTGTGCTGGGGAATTGACTCTTCCTGAAGTAGTCAATTTTTCTGGTGCGTTTAAAATCACAATGCAGGTGAATAAAATATAAGAAAGGAAAACGCTGCAAGTAAGCAGATGATTTGTCTGTGCTGTTGCCTGCAGTGCTTTCAGCTGGTGACAGGGTCTTTTTAAAGCATGATAACATGTTCCATTGGGGCACATTTACATAATGCAATGCACCTTCTGAATGTGCGCTCCATATTTGGGTAGGAAGCTTTGCAATCTTGGAGTCTTTGCCTTCTGATCGTTTCCCCGTCGCCATTTAATTCACAGCAGAGCAGAGGAGGAAAAAAAAAAAGCAGCACAAAGTTTTTTTCCTTCTGCTTTTAATAATTTATCAGGGGAAGTGGCACATTAATAAGCAGGCCTCCCCAGGGGGTGGGCGCCTAACAGAGATAAATATGGCTGCCAGCGTTGTCCTGCTTTCGCCGGCGAACGGAGGGAGCGGAGGAAAAAACACGTTGAAGTAGTTTGCTTCCAAATCTCGTGTCATTTTTCATGCCACGCCGGGTAATTATAGCCGCGGAAGGGAAATTCTCCGTGTTCATTGCACACTAACAGGGAGGCAGAGAGTAATTATGTCATCCTCTCTCCATTGTGAGGGGATGGTGATGATGGGGGCCGCATGTTATCATGGGGGGGGGGTAGGGAACAAATAGGGGGGAGTTGTGTGTATGCTAATTGACGTTCACCAGTCTGGTTGTGCGGAGAGTGGATTGTGTGTGTGTGTGTGTAGACCGCTAGAAGTAGACTGTATCTAAATCCAAGAACAAAAAATATGATACATTGTATCTTCCCGTCCTTAGATGTGGCGGCTGCATTCGTTTTCTCTTCTCAGGCTCTTTCCTTTTATTTCGCCCTTGTGATCCTAACGGTAACACACTTCCTGTCCTATGGTGACAACGTTCACTCACCATTAGTGAGGAGCCGAACATGCCTGGGTTCGAATGAACCAAACCCAAGGCCAACTGTGAACACAGCATTGCACCGCATCATTAGCATCATTGGTTGGTAGGATGCTAGCAGCTGATCCACACAGTGCCATTGGTTGCTAGGATGCTAGCAGCTGGTCCACACAGCGTCTTCGTTTGTTAGGATGCTAGCAGCTGGTCCACACAGCATCATTGGTTGCTAGAAATGCTAGCAGCTGGTCCGCACAGCGTCTTTGGTCGCTAGGATGCTAGCAGCTGGTCTACACAGCACCATTGGTTGCTAGGATGCTAGCAGCTGGTCTACACAGCACCATTGGTTGCTAGGATGCTAGCAGCTGGTCTACACAGCACCATTGGTTGCTAGGATGCAAGAATGCTTTGCTAGGATGCATCTTAGCAACTAGTGATTATGAATATTGGTCGCTAAGGTGCATCACAAGTTGCCATGGTGCACCAGCCTGCATCATAGCAACCAATGATGCTGTGCGGCTCAACCTGCAGTCAGCCAGTGATGCTGTGTGTGAGCCGCACAGCGTCATTGGTTGCTAGGACACAGGAAGGTTCGCAGGACGGGCAACCGACTAACAGCTCAACCATGAGATTAACCCAAAGCTCATCCCTACTCACCATGCTGTATCTATGGAGGAGCAATGTTATCAGCCTTGGAAATGAACCACAGACACCCTCCCTCTCTCCTCATCTCTGCAACATAAAGGGGAGGGGTGATGTAGTCCACAGAGAGAGCTGGGAACAATGTAACTGATAACACTCCGCACATAGAGAGAGCTCAGGAGGTTCACTGGATTTCCGACAGATGAACATGGACTTTTTGCAGTTATAGAATTACAGGAATTACAGACACTTTATTCGCTATATATATATACACACATAGACGTGTTCTGGCTCAATCATAGAACTACAAGTCCCAGAATGCCCTCCCGGCCTCCAGTCCCACAAATCAGATGTATTTATGTTGTTGTTCTTTGTGTGTTTTTGATATTTTGGATCTAATTGCTGTTTTCTCTCTTTTTGCTGATATTCAGTGTCGCGGTTCTCCAGCCCGCGGCTGACGCCGAGACTGAGCCGCAAGCGGGCGCTCTCCATCTCCCCGTTGTCGGACGCCAGCATTGACCTGCAGACTATGATCCGCACCTCGCCCAACTCGCTGGTGGCGTACATCAATAATTCCAGGAGCAGCTCGGCAGCGAGCGGGTCCTATGGGCACCTTTCGGCCGGGGCCATCAGGTAGGCGGATTAGAGACCCAACCAGTGAGATGTAAAGAGTCCGTGTGATCCAAATGGTGCCCTAAGACTGCAGAACTCCGGCCTCCCCTTCAGTCTTCTATCTGACCTCCGTCCTCCCCTCCAGTCTTCTATCTGACCTCCATCCTCCCTTCAGTCTTCTATCTGACCTCCGTCATCCCCTTCAGTCTTCTATCTGACCTCTGTCCTTCCCTTCAGTCTTCTATCTGACCTCCGTCCTCCCCTTCAGTCTTCTATCTGACCTCCGTCCTCCCCTCCAGTCTTCTATCTGACCTCCATCCTTCCCTTCAGTCTTTTATCTGACCTTCGTCCTTCCCTTCAGTCTTCTATCTGACCTCCGGCCTTCCCTTCAGTCTTCTATCTGACCTCCGGCCTTCCCTTCAGTCTTGCACAGTTGAAGCGGCTCCTCCCCTCTTCCTCTGATGTCACAGCACACTGGGAGCTTCTCACAATGTACATTAGAAGCTGCAGATAGAGCTCCGCCTCCTTTCCTGGCTGGAGGATGTTAGGGTCATGTAACCCTTTTCTCCCCAGGCCTGACTGTCCCTGACCCCGCCCCCTTTCCTTTATTGGATTTCAGTTCTGTCAATCATGGAGGCATGATCATCAAGGCATTTTGATATTTGCATAACTCCTCCCAAGAGTAGGGAAAACCTCCTGCTTGTTTCAAGGCTGAAGGCTCTTGAGAAGAGTACTCCTCTGTGATGTTTACAAGAAGCCCCTCCCCCCAGCCACGATCTGCCAGCATTGCAAAAAAAAAGGACAGAGACCCAGTGATGGCATTGATGCCATCACAGATGGATTGAAACTACATTCAGCTTGCCCTCTCAAAATTTACTCCA